CACCATGCCCGGCTAATTTTTCTTATTTTTTGTAGAGATGGCCTCTCACTGTATTGCCAGGCTGAAAGACATTGACTTTGATTCCAATTTTCCTTCCCACTCCGAATACTGATGCAATAGACAACCATGAGTGTACAAGTTCCTGTTTACTAATGCGTGTATTTCTATGGAATTGACTCTGAGAATCAATTCTGAATTCTGATTCTAGAGGTGAGATGTTTGGGTTGAAAGATCTCATCTCAGCTGAGAGAATGACTGAAGTCTCAGTCTCACTACTCACCTTCCACTTTCAATTCCATTGCTGCCTCCTCTTGGTAAGAATGATCTCGGAAGAAGCAGGTGAAACCTCCTTCATCTGAGAACCTTACACTCCGGATTTTGAGGGTGACCTTTCCCTCACCAATAGTGTCTTTCAGCAGTTCCGTCCGACCTCGATATTCAGGGGCCTGCTCTCCGTCTTGGTCCTTGCCGTTTCGGTAGAGATGAACCACCCTAGAGAAGGGGGGCCGGTACCACCCCACCTCCATGCCTGTGGCATTCTTCCCAGGAGACACACGGCATGGCAGTTCCACTTCCTCTCCCACCAGAGCCCGGATGGGGTGCCTTGGTCCTATCACTCTGAACTGTCCTGTCCAAGACACCAAAGAGAAGAAACCGAGGTTCAGAGGGAGCCTTGACAAACAGGCATGTCATGGGCAGGGCTGCTTCAAAACAGGCAAGGAAAGCAGCACTCCATTTTTAAGTGGAATTCTAGAGCCAGGGAAGGGTACAATCTTTCTTCTTGAGAAAAAAAAAAAAAAGCCTCTGTGAGTGTCTTGAACAGAATGTTCTAGCAATCATCTCATCCCAACAGATACTGCCCATCTTTTTTGCCAACTGTATCCATCTCTGAATCTTCAGTCCAGCCTTCAGGCTCCACCTTGGAAGGTGATCCAGCGCCTCCCCTGGGCCTCCCTGTTTGGACTTGGCCAACTTCGTCCCTATTCTCCTCTTACAGAGTTTGCTGCTGTCACTCCACCCACTCGAACCTCTCTCCACCCCTTCTCCCTCTGTCCTTTGTTCCCCAAATTCTCCTCCGAGATCTTCCACCCTGAAGGTAGCTCTATCTCACTCTGCTTTTCCCTCTGTACCTGCAACCTCACTGCAGCTTCTGGGCCCTGCTCTGAACACGTTCCCGGTCTTTTTCCTACGTGGACGTGTTTTTCAAGCCAGACTCTGAGCTACTAGGAGATAAGGCTGGTTTCTCCCTTAGACCTGGAAATATCTCCCCAGGGAGTGGACGGACCGGCCTCCTCTCCCAGTCAGGTGGCTCCCTGAGGTCAGGAGTCTGTGTTCTGTCTCTTTTATTTCTCCTCTGCGGAAGAGCGCAGGGCTCCTTTATAAAACTCATTGGTGCCTGATTATGCAGAGAAAACTCTCAAACATGACACGATATTATCATTCCACAAACTTTTTCGAGATTTACTATGGACAGGCACTGCTAAGCATGTCATACATCTCATCTCATTTTACCCTGACAACAACTTCAGGAGGTTATTATTTTAAACCCCTTTGAGAGATGAAAAGCCAAAGGTGGAAAGATGGGTAAGCACTGGTTCAAGGACGGCCTTCACGTAAAGTCACATTAAAGAGTTTGGATTCTAATCGGAAGGCTGTAAGAAGCCACTTGAAGCTTTCCGAGGAGGAGAGCCACGCCAGCAGATCCCTGTTTAGAAAGGTAACTCACACAGCAGCTCCAGGGTGATCGAAGGAGGTGGGCCTCAGGAAATTAGCCTTTCTGTTCTCGGGGTCTCCCCAGGGCGGGAATAAACGCGTCTTACCTGCATGGCTGGAAGGCAGCTGGAGGAGGAAGAGGAGGAGGAGAGAGAGGAGGCAGCTGGGCAGAGAGGGGCTCGCTAAGCTTGCCATCTCCACTGTTCCTAGGGACAGAGAGCCCCACAGCAGGGTCAGGCCAAGCAGAGGCCCTTGGGGTACATGTCCCCTTACCACTGAAAAGCCCGAGGTAGGATCTGGGATGGCAGTGCTGCCCAGGCCCTGCCTCCACCCCGGCCGGTGCCGCAGCTGTGCCGGTAGGAACAGCCCCGCGTCACCCTTGCCAGGCCCTTATACAAAAGGGCTACAGACCGAGGGCATGACCAGGGTTTGCCTGCCCCACCCCCTCAGAGCAACGGAGCAGCGGCTGCCTGGTACTGTGCTCTCCTCCCCCACGTCCCCTGGGAGACATAGCCTTTGAGGGGGCTTCTGGGGGCTGATCAGTGGGGACCGATCACCCACTGGACCTCAGGAAGAAGCTTATTTATGGAATCTGTAAGGTTCCACATCTGGGAACTAGCCAAGAGAAAGAGATTGTTGCTGGCTTAAAAAAAAAAAAATGAAAAAAGAAAATTTTTGACTTGGTTTCCTATTTCGGTTGTCTCAGGACTGTCATTACCAAACCATTCTTCCTAATGTCTAACCTCCCTCCTACTGCAAATCCAAACTCCGTATGTTTAGATATGTGATGGGTTGCTTGGGCTTAGTTAGATTCTTGCCCCGAAAAAATACATTTAGGGGAGCCAGGAGTTGACTGCTTGTGCTCAGAGAGGCAGGGCTGGAGGAAGGAGGATCTGCCGGGGCAGCAGGGACAGAGCCAACATGC